GTAAGAAAAGTAGTTTAAATGTTTTGCCACTTGCTTGATCAACTTAATATATAAGTCTAGAAGTAAATGCAAAAGTAAAAAGCATTGAATAATGTGTTGCTTATATTTATTGTGCTTAAACATGTGAAGATTGTATTACTGTACTGTGTAAAAAAAGAATTGCAATGCTGAAAAAAACTTTCAGTTACAATGTTTGGATTTGAAATCAAAATAATGGATAAATGTTGTGTTTGTGGTAAACAGCCACGGATCAGTAGCAGACTCCTGAGTGAAAGCTGCTGCTCCTCTCACAAGAGTCACCTAAGAGGGGAATTCCCCCCATTTTCAAAAATGAAATTCAGGCCCTGAATAAATGTCTAAAAATCCCGATTGAAGTATCACTATAAATAGATATAAATGATAAAAAGAAGGCTTTAAAAAGATCGGTATCGGCAGATACTGCTTTCAGTGATCGGCCTCAAATCCTGATCGGAGCACCCCTAGTATTAAATTTAAGAAACAAAACAAATACATAATGCATATAATAGTAAATCTTGGTTTTGGCTCTGGTGGGACTGTCCTCCTCTAATATTATCATTAAGCATAAGTACCTGAGCATTGAAGCAAATACACTTTGGAGAAACGACAATGTGTAATTATTCAACTTAAATGATCTTTTCCCTTTGTGAAACACATATATCACTGCGTTATATAATTTGTGCCCATTTAACAAGCAGCACACGCACTTGTTGACGCCGAAACCGCCCCCCTATCTCTAAAATCAAACAGAGATCAGTAAAATTAAAATAATAACAACGTATCTCTTACATAATCAACATACACGCAAGTAAACGTGATATGGTACCTCAAGTAACACAATGCTGAAGTAAACAAGGGAAACGCAGTACACTTCGCAGCTGTGCGGCCATTTTAATGCAGCCAAACAATGGGGACAGTCTGCGCAAACATCTACCTTCATTAATACAACATTTGGCCCTTAAGATCACATTCACCGTGACCTAATTAAGTTTGTACACGTAAATCTGGCTAATTGCGCCGAAAAAAATGCTTTCTGACCAAGATACGCATTTGATTTTGAGACACGGCCAAAGACACCGAATGAGATAAAATGGTCGTTACTCTCCCCCAAAACAACTAAAAAAACGGTGCCAGAATGTTTATTTAACTAGATTAGCAAATAAGACAGAAAAGAAGACTTATTAATTTATTAATTTTAAACGTAATAAAAAAAATCAAGTAATGCTCAATTCTCGCTGTTTCTGTTAAACGCATAAGGAGCTAGCGTGCTAATCGCTAGCCATAGCCGTTTGCTATCGAAATAAATGCATTTCTGCTGCGTTTAAGTGTTGAAACGACACATTTAGAGTAAATTAAAATGTATTCACTCGATATATTTGCACCTCAAAACATTTTAAACCACCTAATGTTTAATAATTACTCACCAACGCAGCGATAAGATGTGCCTTCACTGATTTGTCGCTGTAAAGAATCAGCGTGCGCCAAGGAACAGTGACACGTGATATCAGTGGACCAATAGGATCATTACACTCTTGTGTCGGCGACAGACAGGAGTGAATGGAGTGGGCGTGGCTTTGTAATTCAGACTTGGCGCCTGCAAAATATAACATTTTCTTTCTTTCTTTCTTTCTTTCGCCTGGCAAGGAAGGCGTCAGCTGAGAAAATTAGTCAATTTTTGTATGCATCAAAACAATGCAAAGTGCAATGTTAAATTGACACTGTATTTAAATAAGACAAATGAATGACTATTTAAATATGTTTTTTTTCCCTGTAAAAATGGGTCATAGCCAGGACACGGGCTCGGTCGTTTGGGGGAGATGCAACACAAAGAAAAATGCGGCTACTGGGGGCGAACGGAAATGGGCAAATTACAGAAAGAACAGTGTGTCACAATGTGGCTTTTCGTCTCCCCCCCCCCTGATAACACAAAGAGAACTGTTTTGATACTTACTTACTTGTATTATTTAAGATGGTTTCATTTTTAAATTGGTGCAATTTGTCACTAAAAAGGTAAAAACAATGCTAAAGATATATCTTTTGAGATCTGATTGATAGTAGCAAACTATAGTTTTTTAATAGTTTTATAGTTCTTTATAGTTGTCTTTAAGTCGGTACCTTTTCAAAAACTACTAGGTATTAGGTATTGATATTTACACTTTAGGAACTGTACTTATGTACTTTTGAGGTAGGCCTATAAGGTACATTTTGTACTTTAGCGGAACGACACATGACAGCTTTGTACCTTTTTCTGAGAGTGCCCGTTTTGAAAAGAAAGCCAGGCCTAAGAGTAGTAATGTAAATGCAACATCCTGACGTAGATAGAGACGGAAAACGGAGATTCTTCCTGAAGTGAACCTTTATTGGTCAAAATAATATTCAATAGCTTCTACATTCCATAGCTTTTCAAGATCACACATAGTAGGGCAAGACACAAATGTACAGATACAAGAACACTGAGACGGTCATCATGCACATGTAAAAGTTCTGCCTTTAGGTTGCAGTGATATTTACACTATTTCTTCATTATTTGACTTTTACTGTATGTAATACTGTATGTGGACTATACAGAATCCTGTGCAATAGCTCTGAAGCCAAACAAAGCTTCATGTTCAAAGACATTTTGATGAATTTTATAATGAATCATATAATGAATCACCAAAAGAGATGGTGTATGTTAATCCTGAACAATTGCAAACTAGCTTAATAAATCCAAGGCTAGGGCTGCACGATTATGACAAAAATCATAATTGTCGATTATTCCCTTGAAATTGTAATTGCGGTTATTAATTACGATTATCACAATTTACACTGAATGATGTTTATACCATTGTTTGATGCAAACTGCATGCCGTATTTTTATATGAAAACGAAAGCTGAAAACACTCTAACTGAAAAACCTTTAGTGCTTTTCTATAGTATTAAGCCTCAAATGTCAACTATACATCGGATTGGTTTCTTCTTTAAATTATAAAAAAGTAAAAATATGAATGGTATTATAATGTTATACTAAAACTAAAATTAAAATAATGGGAAAAACCCTTAAGATAACATGTAGAAAGAAAGAAAAAAACGCATCTTACGCATCCAGAATAACAAGTGGACTTTGAACGATTAATTGCCGCTTTGAATGATTACGTAATTGTGGCATCCATAATTGTAATCGCATTAGAAATTCGATTAATTGTGCAGCCCTATCCAAGGCCCAAATTTTCTTTGCTCCTGTGACTCCTCCTGCCCTTTTTATATTTCCTTTTCCTTAGTTTGCATGGGAAAAAAGTTTCATTTTTTAATATAATAATAATAATTGAGGTGACATGCATGTTTGCAGTCCATTTCACATTGTCATTTATCAGACTCACTCTACGGAGTGCAACTGTGACTGCCAACTTTTTCAGCAGCCTTGGTTCCAGAACTATCCTCCCATTCATTTTCTCCATAGGCATTCTAGAAAACTCTTCAATAGAGTTTTAGGATTTCCTTCAACAATACAAACCAAGGCAAAACAGTATTTGAAATGGATATGAAACAAAAGTACAAGACTGTGTACTTAATTATTTTATGACAGAATGAGTTACTCATACCATGCAGCATTGTGAATGATGTAAATAAATAATAAACAATGGTAATGTATGAAATGATGGGCTATAAATCAATAATGATAGTGTAAAATACAATATATTTAATTGCTATGTATAAAGTTCATTCAAATACATACACATTTTTTTATACATATTTTTTGTTGCATGTAGACTTGTGCCGGTATTCGGTAATGCGATATATCACGGTAATGAATATGCACAATATTGTTATCGTGGGCACTTCTAAATACCGTGAATAATTATATATTATAAATTATTCAGAATTTTGAATGCATTTTAAGAATACTTTTCCCATCAACTGGTCAAAATGCACAACACTGCTGTATGCTGCGTGAAAGACGCATGCGCACTCTGATGTAAACAAGCACGGACTAGAAGCACATGGCGGAACATGTGAGAGACGCTCTGGATGAAAGCGCACTTTCACTCTCTGACAGCAGATGGCGCTAAACTGCGTTACCCCGGAAACCCTGTAAAAAAAGCAGCTACACTACTTTCTGTTTCTGAAAGGTGTTTAAATTATTTAAACAGCCATTCAGATTTGTGTATTTGCTATGATGTTCATCACAGCGCCAAATACTTAAATATTTAGACTTAATAGGCTATTTATTTTCAAACTTTTTTTAACATTTTATCTGGACTACAACATGCCCTAGATATTGTTTGAAAGTGTTTTGATTCTGTATTGTTCGGTCACACTTTACATTAGGGCTTCATTAGATAACTGCATGGTAAGGAATTTGCAAATGAAAAACCCAAAATTTGTCCATTTAAATGTTAAAAAAAAAAAGGAAGGTCTGTCTGGAAACATTTATACATTATTGTTAAAGTCAGTTTTTTATGGAGAAAATGAATGGGATTTTTACTTCTAGAACCCCACTGTGCTCAATCATAATGCGTATTGTTTCTGTCAATAATGCGTATTGCATCGCTTGCATTACAACTTCCAGTGTGCTGCTTCTTCATCCACCCTTTAAGCAATAGGAACTTACATCTGCCTTCAGTAATGCTGCACTGCAACGATTTTGGTTAATAACATCCTATTTTTTTGTAATGGCCAACTCACCAGCAGAGGGCTCCAGCAGATGCAAGAAGTGACCATAATGCCCACCAGCTGTGCCACCATCTCAATGTCATGTGATTTAGCCGATCTGCGGTGGCACTTCTTCCTGCGCAGACGGGCGTTCACCAGTGTCACCCCGCTGATGGTGTTGCAGACCAGTGCCACGGCCAGCGCGGCCAGTCCCAGTCCAGAAAACAGCAGCACAAATATCACGTCTGTGATGCTGGTATTGTCTAACACGTTTATGAAGCACCAGGTCCACGGGAACTGGTAGGTGTATGTTCCCAGGCGAAAGAAGGGCAGCAGCGCTACAGATAAAGCCAACAGCCATATCATCACCAGCACCATCTTGGTGTGGGCCATGCAAATTACGCGGGCGTGCAGGAGAGGCTGCGTCACACCCATGCACCGCTCCGCCGCCATAACGCACCCCAGAAACAGCGGGCACAGGCCGAAGAACACCATGCTGCCGCCCAGGAAATGGCAGGTGGCATCGGGTTGGTAACAAAGTCCTCCAGCGGTGCCAGACATGTAGAGATGCAGAACCAGGGCACCTGGAATAACATGACCTGCAAGGTCCGTAGCCACCAGAGAGCTGGCGAACAGCAGGAATGTTGCTTTGGAGCGCTTCCGCAGACGAGTGTACGCTTTAACCAGGATGATCAGTGCTACGATGTTGGACACGATGCCCAGGGTCATGGACAGGCCCGCTGCCGTGGGGTCGGTTGTGATGTTCAGGTTTTCCCTGCAGCACACCACTCCAGGCACCTGCTGGGTCTGATTGCTAAATCCTTCATTCACATCCAGGGCTGAACTGTTGTAGTGTTGGACAGCTAACATCTCCAGGCTATGGGATGAGCACCACTGAGCTTAGAGATACATATCTATAGAGAAAAGAGCATAGAATTGTGTTTATGAGAACTGGGCATTTAAAGCTGAGATTAAGAACTCTAATGCTTCTTTAGCAAACAAGCTGAATATCAGATATGTAAAAATAGGGATGCTCTGCTTATTTTGGCTGCAAAACTAGTCCATTTGGGACATTTTAATCAGTTAACAAGCAAGCGATTACAGCCCTTCCTGTTTTTTTCCTTGTTTATGTACAAACATTCAATGAGGGAAATTATGTCCAGAGGTCTGAAATGATACACTGACACACCTTTCAGAAAACTTTAGTGAATAGGAACATTGTTTTTGCACAATTTCCTCTCCAGGGTACATGAGAAAGCAAAAAACGCGCAGTACAAATTTCAACACTTCTGACCATTCACCACTGTAATAAGAAGAACTAAACAACTGTTTGAAGATAACAAGATAAATAAAAAAACAGATAAAAAGAAATACGCAAAAGTATAAATAATGTTTAAATGCTTTTCCAGAAAACCTAAAAATGTCTCAATCAACTAGTTACCAACCTGATTACGTTAATGAGCCAGATAAAGTAGATTATATTTGAAGAGTTTATTTGCAAAAACAGATAACTCCATTTTTTAAAGTTTTCAAAAATCATGTTTTGTTTTTTTTAGGCTATGTTATCATATTTTTATTGTGTTTTATTGTGTTAGTTAGCTGCATTTTTTTAGTTGTTTTTTTAACCTAATCAAAATAACCCAACTGCATTTTGATTGAGATTATTGGAATGCACAATGAAAAAACATGATTTTTTGAAAATTGTTAAAAACGGAGTTATCTGTTTTTGTGTGTGTAGCCTATGTGTTAAAAATTTATGTATCACAGCAATTTGAATAACTACGCTGTTTCTTTTACTTTTTCTGCTACTTTAATATTTTATTTGCTCTGTCACTTATCCATATATTTCGCAAATCTTTTTCTAGTCTATCAAAAGTCTATTTCAATAGGTAAATATTCAAAATATTTACCATTTACGCGTTTTGTATTATCCATGCTGCTCACCTCACCTGAAAATCTTCATTTTATTTCTTTCCCCCCCCCAAAAAAACGTCTTTGAAACAGTCCTTGAGAATCGAAAGGCGATATCAGACTTCCATCATCCGTTTAGTCCGGAGTCTTCTTACTTTTTCCCGATAATAAAAAACTTATTCCAGTTCGACTAAAAGTGTCTTTGCAGTCTAAATATTGATGTTCAGTAGTGGCAGTGGTATTGTGGTCTTCATTGTCTAAGAAAACATCATGTAAAGGTGTATAAAGTAGATAAAGCACGCAGAGCGCGCGGCGGACTGTGGAGTGACCAGCGCGCGCTGCTGTATTTATAGCTCCCAGTGCGCGAGACTCGCAGCCGCTGCTTCTGCGCTGTAAATAATGACGCGTCACTGCGCCTAGTGTTTGAAGCGTCATGGACGCGTGTAACATTTTAAACATCACGAGCTCGTACAGTAGCCTATGTGCTTACGCATAGATCATTCTTAGTTATTCTTTTTAGGTAGGTAGCGCATCACTTTTAATCATCATTGACGCGTTGTAGCAGTTATTGACATCCTGGATAATAACACATAGACATGATATTTTGGAGTAATCTGCACACACCTATGATGCCCGGAAATTATGCAATCTAGCACACAAGGTTTTGAGACACATTAAGCTTGGCAAGTGAATGGACAGGGCGCCATGGACCTGCCAGCAGAAAATATATAGTGTCAAATGTGAAATCAATAAGCAGCATTTTAATTACTCATTATAATTTATAGCTGTCTTTTAGTTTAACGTCATAGGATTTAATAAAAGTCCAATTTTGCGTTGATTTTTTCTTCTTCTTCTGAGTCCTGGATTTGACAGGTCTGGGATGGGACCAGACATGGAACCAGATTTATAAAATGTTCTTAAAGAGTTCTTAAAAAATTACCCTGTACTTTACTTACCCTCAAGCCATGGGTGTATATGACTTTCTTCTTTCAGACAAATACAGTTGGAGTTATATTAAAAAATGTCCTGGCTCTTCCAAGCTTTATAATGGCAGCTTTATAATAGCAGTGAATGGGTGTTGAGATTTTAAAGCAAAATAAAGGGCATCCATCCATTATAAAAAGTGCTCCACATGACTACAGGGGGTTAATGAAAGCCTTCTGAAGTGAAGCGATGCGTTTATATATTAAAAAGATATGCATATTTAAAACTTTCTAACTGTCATACACATGTTCATGAAAGAGTGGCTTTCAGCAGATGGTGTAGGATGTCGGAATCAGTGTTCAGCTGTACATATGGGAAGCCATACACACCAAAAGTGGGATGAAACAGCGCGGTGTGACCTGTCATTAGCGCGGCTCAATGGGCCGAGCTGTGTGACCACGCTACCGAACGAACAGCGCAGCACGAACTAATCTTACAAGTGTGGTGCTGATCAATTAAAATACTTCGATAACGTATGCATAAAAACACGGTTAAAACACTAAGCACTGTAACGACATGACATTCAGAAAGCAGTCTGGAGTGAAATGATTTGCGCAGACATTTTAAGGTGCATTGCCTTGAAAAATAAAAGTATCCTACAGCATCCTCAGCAGCTCAGATGTTGGGAGAAAATGAAGATTCTTATGTTCAGTCTTATATCCAAACAGAGAACTGGGATTGTTTACGAGACATTGTTGACGTTACAGCTGCTGGAGCGCGGAGAAAATGGAAGACAGCGTACAACCGCTGAGGGCGGAAACTACGGTAATACAGGACTGTCAGCCAACGGCCATGGGCGGGGCCTAAACAATGTGATGTCATATTGCATAGAGAATCAAAACAGCATGCCTAGTGAGACTAACTTGGTTTAATGGGGATTAAAAAATAAGTAGTGGGTGTATTTTTTATCATTGTAGGGTGGTTGTGTTCACACACTGCCAACACACATTTAGGTCCAATTTAGGTACACACCATGTAAAAGTGGATTTTGCATAATAGGTGCTCTTTAACAATAACATTTTTAAAAGCTATTTTTATTACTTTCTAACTTTAAAAAGTAGGAATATTTTGTATTCTTCTCTTTTCTGAAAATTGTCTTTAAGACAAAACTTTTATAGAGTTAAATTTCTCAAAAAGAATCTTCTTAAATATCATAAATTCTCCAAAAAACTGTCCATCAGTTAATCTTCAGCAATAATTTTGAGAATATATGAGAACTTCTAAAGAACTTTTCAAAAACTGAACTTAGAACATTCTTACAATGTCTTAGAATTTATCTTTTGACATTCCTTATAACTTCTGCGACTGTCTTAAGAAGATTTCCGGCCCCATGAATCCGGCCCCACTGGTTCCAAGGACATGGGGAGGGAAGAGGAAGAAAGAGTATGTCAGAGGTACTTTTTAAACATTTCTTTCATGACCATAAAAGAACAATTCCTAACAGATTTAAAAAGTACCAAGGGATCTAGGCTATACAAAACTTCTTGCACACATAAAGAAAAAAAATCTCTAATTACTGAAGAGTACAGCAGCTGGCCATAACTGGATGAGAGCAATCAAGAGAACCTAACAAAAGACCTTTTCACATTACTCCTCCTGGTACTGACCTTTTTTCCCAACCAGCCTAATTTGGAACTAAACGGAAAGGCACAATAAATAGCGGCCCATCACGACTGAAAGGGTTGGTCGGTCTTGCGTCATCTCCTTTAAACACTCTGAGGAAGAAATAGTCACATGATGGCAATGTTGAATACCCCTCTCTCTCTCTCTCTCTCTCTCTCTCTCTCTCGCTCTCTCTCTATATATATATACAGTGCCTTGTGAAAGTATTAATTTTTAATTAATTTTTTTACATTTTGTAATGTTGCTGCCTTATGACAAACTTTTTTAAATTACTTTTTTTCCACATCAATCTACAATCCATACACCATAATGACAAAGCAAAAACAGAATTGTCACAACTTCGTAAACTTATTAAAAATAAAAAACTGAAATAAGTACATTGCATAAGTAACTAAATATTTAGCTGAAGCACCTTAACAGCCTCAAGTCTTTTTTTGTTTTGATGCGACAAGCTTTGCTCATCAGCATTTTGCAATTATCTGCCATTCTTCACCTCGGCTTGGTTTTTGCTCTGATATGCATTATCAGCTGTTAGACCTTTTATTAAGACGTGTGTGCCTTTCCAAATAATACCCATTCAATTGGATTTGCCACAGGTTAACTTCACTCGAAGTGTAGTAACATCTACAAGCAATATGAATGCTCCTGAGCTAAATTTCAACTGTCCCAGATGGAATCTGCAATGGAATCATTTTAGTTTTTTATTTTTAATAAATTTGCAAAGATGTTAAAAACCTGTTTTTTTGCTTGACAATTATGGTGTATGGAGTGTAGATTGTTGTGGAAAAAAACGAATTTAAAGCAGTTTAACATAAGGCAGCAACAAAACAAAATGTGAAAAAAATGAAGGGGTATGAATATATTCGCAAGGCACTGTATATAAGCTGAAAATATATAATATATAATATAAGCTGAATAAAAAATGTGAAGACAATACATGCAGTATGTGGGTTATGTGTGTTTTTCCAAGTCATCAGGTACTAAACAAAGTATCTGAATAATACAGTGCTAACTATAGCATTCATTACACTAGCCTATATAAACTATAAAATATATTTTCTGCCTTATTCTGTGATTACAATTGAAAGTATATGAACAAATGATTAGGAAAATATAGGAAAAATATTACAGAAGACAAATTACTGGTAGGCCTAATTGTCCAGTAGTGTATTTGATTAAAAGTAATAGATAAAATGAATAAATAAATAAAACTTGTCAATTAGACTAAAATAAAGAAAAGTATTTTTACATTTGATATTTCTGTCCCCCTCACTTCTGAAATGATGTCTACGTCCCTGTAGGCAGCGGCTATTTGCACTAAGTATAGCGATAGAGGCTATTTACACTAAGTGCAAATAGCAATGAGATGCTATTTACACTAAGTGAAAATGGCATATTTTCTTAGCAATATGCCATTTAAACTATATACAAATAGCGATAGATTCTATTTACACTTTGTAAAAAAATCAGGATTTTCTGCTATTTAACAGGGCTGCTATCTCACGCATTCAACGTGACACTCACGCAACTCACACTGTTCTTTCTTACGCTCTCACGCCACACATCCATTTTTTTTCACGCAGACCCTCAGTTAAACCTGTAATAATAGGATAATGATAAAAACAGATTTAGTAAAGGCTCATGTGTGCATTTGTGGAAAGCGTCAAGATTCTTTACAACGTGTTTTCGTAGCACTGAGCAATGTAGCCAATCACAGACATATCTGTTGATTTATTGAACACATGTGATTGGCCATTGCGTTCACTCGCCTCTAAACACTGTTTTTTTTTTCCTGCACGCTTGCGAATCCTTTCTCTCTAACATGATGTAGCTAAATAAGAGGTTCATTGATTATAAAGGAACTTTGTGAGATCGAGATGAACTGAAGTAAGTGATACCTTTTTAGTGATTATAAAGGAAGGTCCTATTTGAACACTTTCTTGGCTAAATATAATCCGTTCAGAATTTGAATAAAAGTTTTGTTTTTCGTGCCGCTAACGGCCATATACCTTAAACAAGCAGCAAAGTTTCGGCAGTGACATAGCCTCCCAAACTGACATCAAACATTGGCATCAAAAACAGGTAAAAAATGCAATTCAAACTGATGTCAAAAACTTCACATCCATTTGACATCCAACAAGGTGGGCTATTTGCACTTAGTATAGATTTGCACTTAGTGGAAATAGCCTCTGGCAACAAGGCGGGCTATTTGCACTTAGTGTAAATAGACACTCCGATATAGGATATAGACATAAAGTAAATCGGCACAACATGAAACATCTTACATCAAATGAAAGAAATGAACATATACAGCATCCTCCAATTGTGTCTGTTTTTCCACATTCATTAGCTTTGCCATTTCTTTACAGTGTTGCTTCCATGAGACTTGTATTTGCTGGACATAAACTATAGTTTATGACGAACGTGACCCAGAAAGGCGGTTTCAAAGTTTCAAATGCATGCAAAAAATTTTCATCTGGTCATATTTTTTACTGTCAGCTCAACACTTATTTTTTCAACACGAGTTCTAAGTCATCTGGCGCACATCAGGCAATCTTGCATTTTTTTCACCATAGGCAATTGTGGTCTCATGGAAAGGATTGCAGGAACACCTTGGACTGTGATAATGGAACATGCACCAGAATTAGATTTCCCACCATTCCCGGAGGCTTTCCGCAGCGAGAAATGCATAAA